CGGGCCAATCGCCCGACTCGATCGCCTGAAACTGAAAACAAACACGTTTGTTTTTGAGGCGATCGAGTCGGGCGATCGGCCCAATCAGCCCGATCGGCCGATCCCAGCCATAGTGGGCACCCCGTATAAGCTTTTTCGGAGTCTTTATATAATATTCAACAATCATCAATTAATACAAAGAATTGCATTCGAAAAAGATTGACGTGCGGTGAGAGTCAAAATCTTTCACGTCAAGTTTCTCCAAGCTAGGTATACTGATCAGATAGAACTTCGTGATTCTAGGATAGTGTCTTAATACTAATAGAGAGCATTTGTATAGCGCATATCCCCGCTCACCAGTAGGCTCTATACGCTTTACACTATATTATTACCCCAGTAGACCATAGAACACTCTGAAACATTCTCAGCTTCCCGGGAAGCATACAGTGCAAGCACCTGATTAAGCGCTCAAACACTAACAAACTGACAAGATCTTTCGCTGTCTATAGCCGGGTACCCATTCCCGCCTGGGTGAAGTGAGGAAAATTCGCGTAAAGTGCCTTTCCCAATGACACAACATCGGGCCCCTGACGGGATTTGAACCCACGACCCTAATCACTAGGCCACCGACGCTCCATGGACCCCCGGGGAGTTTGAGTTTGAGTCCCCTATTGTAATGGCGTTTCTTCTCTCCCTACAGTTGTCAGGTGGTCGGCCTTGGCTCTTACACTTCGGAGAAGAGCGCGGAATTTACTATCTCCAGATCCGGTGAGTGATTTCCATTTTCTGTTTCGGTTTTTATTTTCTGTTTGTATTTTTCTGCTTGTTTTTTTTCTCTCGTCCCTTGTCACTTATTCGGGTTCCGACTTAGTAAAGTAAAGCAAAGTTGTTCCCGCATCCGATCCGGACATTGTGGATTGCCTTGTTAGTGAGACAACTTCATGGGCCTTCGACATATTGTGGTAGGGCGGCCAGTTCCTTTCCACGCCGCCTTTACTTCCCCTACTTAAAAATACGTACATATATAAATACAAACACAAATACATACATAAATACACAATATCGCACCAGTACATAACAGTTTACAACCATGCCATTGCCGGTCGCCACTGTGGCCACCCTACCACAATATGCCGAAGGCCCAGGAAGTTGTCTAACTAGCAAGGCAATCCCCAATGTTCTGATCGGATGCGGGAACAACTTTACTTTACTTTTACGTATTTATAATTATATATTTAGGTATGTATTTGTATGTTTGCCATCGTCAACCAAAGTACCCATCTGAGACAAGTAAAAGTGTAATTCATTGTTTGTTATTTATCATTTTATCGTCATCATCATCATCATCATCATCATCATCATCATCATCATCATCATCATCATCACCACCACCACCACCACCACCACCATCATCATCACCACCACCACAACCATCATCACCACCACCACCATCATCGTTTCGTCCTACGTTCCCACAGAGACATCTGACAGTGGTGTCCAGAATGTAGTTATAGTCCCTGAGCCCCAGTACCCACTACGGAACAGTTATGCGCTCATCAAGTGCCTCGTCTATGCTGGAAGCTCGCAGAATCTCAGGTACTCATGGACGTTCGAAGGAGCCCCCATTTCTGGTCAGCATGATAGCACACTGCAGGTGAGGGCGTTTTTGTTGTATTATGATGTCACGTTTGAGAGAGGAGG